AGAGAAGTACAGTATTATTGCCTGAGCATCAAGATTACCTACATCTCGAGGCGCTTGCGCCGAAGGGTGTAAGGTGCGAAGGCAATAATAGACTTCTCTACCGTGGTATATATACTATTTTTTTCACTACTAGCACTTGAAGTCCTCTAAATTAACATATTATATTGATAAGAGAGTTAACGGTTGGACAGAATTGTTTGTTTCTTAATTTAACATGTCAATCAAGTACGTGGAAGTACAAAACAGGCCGTATTTTGTTCTGTCATTGAGATTTTTCAAAGAGTAATTTCGTTCGAATTTTTCCAAAATGTGATAATTTTAGGTATGTAATTTCTCTGGAAATTGCGAATGGTGGCAATTATTCGTTTTAGAGAACTTGTCTAAACGTTCATTGAGCGAAATTTCAGGTTGTGTTTTCTAAAAGTGACAGCGTGACAGTTCTCAATATTGACTACTAGTTAATAATAAAAAATTATTAACCACTTTGAACAAATGCCGAGAAAGCCTACTTTACAAGTGGAAAAAAGGTTAATAATCATGTCATCAGACGCTAGTAGTGAAAAAAAAAATTTTTGTGCATTTTACCTACGGTGAACACCGAAACGGGGCTTTTCCAATACAGTATTTCAAGTATGACTTAAATGGCAAAATGTTACCGTAATACACTCTATTAATATTTGACCAATTAGCTTGGTGATTGTTTCAAATTCTAACCAATCATTGATTTTTTAAGTGATTAAAAGTTATGTAGCTTTTTATCAGCGATTAAACGCTATAGGTAGCTTTTTACCAGCGATAAAAATCGTGTAGGAATGCCTAAAATGTACTGGTTGTGAAATTTGTATTAATCTCCCTAAAATACACTCGATCAGGATAATTTTATTTTTAAGTTACTCAAATTTTGTTGCCTCCTGGAAAAAACTTTCGATCAAAAGCATAAGATAAAATTTTATCACGCTTTTGGCCTTTAGTTTTTCCGTTACCACAAAACTTTCATATAAAAATAAAATTATCCGGTTAAAAATCAAGCTCTTGTGTATTTACCCCCGAAAAAGTGACAGTAACAGTGACAATAAAAAAGATTTTGTCTAAACTATTTCTTCTAAAAAGAGATTTCAACCAAACTATATAAAGAAATTTGTTTCAATTAATTACGGTCCGTTTTTCTAGATGATCACTTATCGAATTTGCAATATTTTGAGGAAGATTGGCGTGAAGAGGCCAGGTGACTGTGTCTGTGGGGCTAAAGTGAGGCTACTGTTAGTTTATTGATCTCATAATAAGAGTTGGATTGATTATCTTTGATTTTTCACTTGATCTTACGTAAAATGTGCATCCTGAAGATTTGGCGTTGCTTTAAAAAGTATCGCCTTCAGGGAAGAGTCATCTCTTTGAGACGAAGTAGCCTTTGCTAATTCATTCAAGGACAGAAATTCAATCATTGTCGTTCAAGTTAAATAAAAATTGTCTATTACAAACACATTCACAGCTTCATCCATTGTTGTAAGTAGATACCTCTCAAGTCTCAAGAGCCAAAACTTCAACACTAACCAATATTACATAACCCACAAAACGTCAGTTACGAGCGTTTGCGAACGCCATTTACTCGCTCGCAGAAAAACGAACACAATTGTATGGTCAAAAATTGCAAATATACGTTTCTTTACGAATACGTATACGTTTTAAGGAAACGTACGGCCAAAAATCGACCCCCAGATTTTTTAACATTGCTATGTCATTGTAGCGTTCTTGGAGACATGGCTTGGGGAAAACTACTGGTTTCATCTTGACAAAGCAGCGGCTTATATGTCTTTGACGTACATTTTTGAAGACAGGTGGATTGGGCCCAGAGACCCGTGGCGTTGGCCTCCTAGATCTCCAGACATAAGGATATAACGCCACTGTACTTTTATATGTGGAGTCAGTAATAGTATATTAAGTATGGAGAACGGTAAGGGATTTTTACCGTTCTAAGACAATTGTTTGGAGGAGGAGCGAAGCGACGACTCCAATTATTGTCTGAGAACGGCTTATAACATTTTTTGCGCGATCGAAATTAAAATTATCCAACCAATATAAATATGCACTAAGAAATTAACGAGCAGAATAAATCGAAATGATCGAAGTGGTATGGTGTACATCACTAGGTAACCAGTTTATTTGTCAAAATTGAAATTAATAATTTCATAAAAATGTGCATGTGTCTGATGTAGTTTACTAGCTTTGCACTTCCTTTATGACTTTATGAACGTCTTGCTATAGGAAACAACAGCACAAATTGTACGTTTAATGTACCTAACAATAATTAAAGATTAAATGTAATGTAAGACTGTTGTTTTTTAAAAAGGCGCCGGTAAGTATTTTTGCTGTTCTGTTTTTAGATCGGTAAGTAATTTTGGCGTCGTCGTAATCATAGCAACTGGTAAATTCTACGTACTGTCATGGAAACACCCATGGTAAATAGTCAGAAATGACCAATCGCGCAAAAAGGTTTATTTCACACCAGCTGCTTCTCATGAAGAACTGGAAGTTAGGGTGAGAAGAGCATTTAATGAAATAGATCCAGTAGAAACTCGAAAAGGGACTATAACGGCGTTCATCGGAGGATTGCCCTAGGCGTAAATAAACACTATTATTATTATTATTATTAAAAAACCGATGGCCGCGTAAAATAGGTATTTAAACATCGTTATCTACAAGGGGGTTGGGTTTTCGCTATTATTTTTTGCAATTTGGAAAATTTAGAAATCCTTTGCACAAATTACACTTACGTTTAGGCAGTGGTATAAGAGGCAAGATTTGTTTCAGTATGAATATAGAATGACAGTAGATTTTTTTTCTATAATTGTTTACTGTAAATAACTTTAAATGCTTTTGTTTCTTAGCATAGAGTAAACAACGTTAGTTATCTTAGGGTCCTGATTTGGGAATAAGATTGAGCACTTTTCAGATTGTATTGTGTGTTGCCTACCTTAGTTACCCATAAACATTTTATAAGCTTTAACAATCTCAATAAATGCTGATCATGTTTTCTTATTCTTTGCCTATATCATTGATTATAAGTATATAATCAATGCCTATATCTCGAAATAAGATTTATTGACAGTAAAGAGATGATATTTGTGTAGTTTTAGGGAGACTCCTACTAAAGGCAAAACTACCTGCTCAGGATTTACAGCGAAAATAAACCCCAATTATTTTCATTTTTTACTAGATATAGCATGCCGTGCAGAGAACTATTGTTATAGACGGTGGTTTTTTACGCAGTTTGGTAAAACGGTGGAATGGTTATATTTTCTGTTCTGAGTTTACATGAACCTTTTATTAGTGTTTAGCAGCATATTTGTGTCTTGTGTCTAGGAGGCGGCGTCGATACTGATTAAATTAGATAAGAAATCAGTCCAACGTTACCGATGGTTGTAAATAATACAAAAGAGATTACCTGGATCTTGCAGCCTGCCTAATGTCTTTGTGTAGAGCAAGCCCAGTTGCCCTAAATGAGACTAGTACCTGCCTGTCGATAATGGCAATTTCAAAACGTTACCCCATTCTTTAAGTTTTTTTTTGGAGATAAGATTGGGGTTTGTTTGGGTTAAATCTGATGTACTTCAAATTGTAAGATTTAAGTTTAATTATACTTAACCTAAATTATAATCATAACTTTTTCGACATTAGGCCTCTCTGACGTTTGCCTAGTCCATTTAGTAGTTATGCAACAAACATAACACTGACATGGTAACAGGAAAATTCTATTATGAAAACAATAAGTGCCGCTATAATTATTTACAGTAGATGCTATATTAACTCTCAATTATTATAATGGGGCACGATCAATTTACCAGACCTGTGCGTTCGATCATAGGCTCAATCTGATCGAAATATGATAATTGGGGACGGAGATTGTTGACTTACGGCGACAGGTCACATTGCCGTATTAAAATCGTTCGAAAGTATCTGCATGAGCGTAAAGGATGGATTAGCAACAGTGGTCAATGGGAGTGGAGGCGTTTTGTTGCAGAGGTCGGCCGTAAAGTCACTGAACCGAACTTACTATTCAATAGTAGATCATTACAAGTTGATTGATTGGTTATGAAAAAATTCAAAAATTTGAGATTCTCACCTTGCGTGAATCATCGCAAACTACCTAAACGGATCTGGGTGCTATAATTGGTACGTCATTATAAAAGATTTAATTTCCCGAAAAGTAGTTTTACCTGGTACATTTATAGAGGTGACGATCAATGATGAGAGAGGTTCGAAATTACGATGAGAGTCCGCAAAAAGTGTTTCAACACAAAGGTCGATCAATTTTTACAATTAACTGAAACAAAAACTTAACAGACGTAATTAAGCAGTTTACGACCAGCATGTGAAAACCCCACCTTACGGTTCAACAGGTGAGCCGACTTTACCTGAGTAGTCCGTTTCTGAACACCGTTCTGCAAGAACGAAGAAGTGGTCGAAGTGGTTTTATTTTGAAAATTAGTGTAATATTTTTACATAATACGCGGCTTAGCTTGTATTGTTATAGTCACGGTTTTGTGTTGTACGCATGAAAAGTTACCCTTTTTTTAACTCACTTTAAACATTTCTATTTAAAACCGGCACAGGGTGCAAAACTCAATTAATGACTTAAGTAACTTTACTTTTATAAATGAAAGCTTTTGACATTAACATTCCTCTGCTATAGAAAATGTGTGAAAAATACAGTCGGTCATAATCCTTCGGGGTTACTTTCCCTTCAGCTGTTTAGCAATACCGCAACAGTTTTGCAACCAAATTGTTTAAAGTGGCGTTAATAATTGATAGATCGCGCAAATAATCGGGGGCAGTTACAAGTTAAGTGTTTTTATTACTGAACATCTCCAAGAGCACAATGATATAGTGTTATTACTTTACTTTGGGATTTGTCTTTGAGGTAAGTTGTAAAAGATGCTCGAACGTCACTTTCAGTCATTTCAATCGTTTATTATTGCAAATAACATAATTAAATTGAGGTCAAATGTAAATAGCCGAGCCCAACCTATACCTACTGAAAATTTTTCATTTTCTCACTGCGACAGCAAAATTTCTTTGGCATCTGAATGTTTGCCGGTTAATCGATTACCAAATGGAGGTGTTTAGCAATGAAACGTGCTACGTTGGCATTCTAAATACAAATTCACTAATAAATAAAACGGTCATACCTACACTTTACACTTATAGGGATACAGCTTATGGAACTGGTATTAAACAAAGACCAAGGTGGACAAGTTTCAAAGGGAACTAAAAATTGATTTGCATGTGATAAAGCAAAACATTTTACATACACAATTAACGTAAGGGTGATTGAATCTTGGTCTCTTGTTATACGATTCCAGGGAGGAAAAGTAACTTAGGGTTTTGGGTACATCCGGTACAAGATTTCTGCATTAAAAAGATGAGTGGGAAGGCGCTTAGGTGACACTCAGTTAGTGCTCCTGTCTGTCACGGTTTATTAAAGGAACTGTTACACCATTAACCAATTCGACATTGTTAAAATAGCGCAGATTTTACCTGTTCAAAGGAAGGCATTCTCCATTGTTTCTTTTTAACGAAAATGGGTTTACTACCTACACTCTAAAGAACAATGCTCATCTATTTTACTTTTGTGCCGTGTGCAATTTACACAAATTGCTTATTTACCTGCAGTGATTGGTGGCATCACTAAATTCTAAATCAGAATATGGTAAATTTCACCGAATTAGCTTATTTTACATACAAATACCCACACTTACTTATAACCCTATAATAGTACTGTGTTTTAATTTTCTCATCATTTTAGCATAATTTTTTATGATTTTCACTTTTGATTACCCGAAAAGTAATTACTCGTATAATCGCATTTAAATTTACAACCTTTCCACTTGGCTTATTTATCAAAGTTGTAAAAAAGTCAATCACAATCGACCTTGCGTTCATATTCGTTTAGTACGTAAAAGTGGAAAGTATATTAATAATTGAAAGCAAAACGCTTCTAATTACCGGTAGAAAATTAGTGCGACAGTAAGTACAATCCAGACGTTTTTCAAGAGTCGCAGCTTATGCGCTAACATGCAGAGATTGTTCGAGTAATGTGTCATGAAATTGGATTTTCAATTTGCTTAACCTTTTATTTTCTTCATCAAAACGTGCGAAAGTATATTTGATCTTCGAAGCACGAAGATCTTCTTCAATAAACACATTTAACTTTATGTCGGTTATATTCTATGGGCATGTTTAGCATTCTTCCAAAGTGGCGCACCTAACCATTTACAAGGATTAAATGCTAATCAAACTTACCACCTTAACAATGACTAAACCGTCAAGATTCCAGAATAAATCTAACCAAGGTTGCACTAAGGCGTTTCTTTCATAAATTTATGAAAATTTTGTCAAGTGTTGCGTGAAAGTTAGGTCAATCACTGTATCAGATGATTACAAAACACGAGGAATGTTTGGAATTCGTTTAAAATGTAAATTGAAGTTTACCATATATCTAAATCGCGATTTCCTGAATGAAAGTGGACCTGACTGCACTTCTGCAGCAGGCACGATACACATAGAAAGTGCACTTATCAAGTGAACGCACGAAATTGCCCAAATGTGTCTATGACTAAAAGTGAAAGCCAATGGCGTTTCTATTTTTTTTTTCCTTGATAGGAAATTTACTGAGGGGGTTCGCGTCCTTCAACTTAGTCGTTATTCCTTATGAATACGAGTTTGACACGTCATTAACCGCCTAGTTTTTTTCTCCACCTCGGTGGGTTACCATTTTCAACCGTCAAATCCAAAGACTGATCGTAATGGTATTGTATTCAAATGTTCGGTGCCTAGCATCTTCGCTCTAAAATTAATGACGGATTAAAAACTGAGGTGCCAATCCAAAAGTAGGATGGCCGTAAGTCAGTGGTCTTCTTGCCAATTCCAAATGGTTTTGCACCACGACCTTGCGAACGATAAGTCGACACGAGCGACAATGTATAAAAGCGTTACAACAGTAGAAAGCTGTACTGCTCTAGGCTGGGCGTAATGTTACATTATTGTTGGGCATACGTCATTCCTTACCAGCAACTTGGAAAAACAGACATAAATCCTTTCAAAACCTCGGCCTAATAATGGCCATGTTCTTGTGTGTACTTGACAAAACTATTCACCTTTTGACTTCGATTAAGTTTTTGGTAAAACACATTTTGAAACCGTCTTAAACCTCATTTTATCCTACAGGAAATAAGGAAGTGATTTAACATATGATTTATTGTTTTTGCAGAAATTAATATTTTGTAGTGTTTGTATTAAATGAACAGTGGAAAATGCACTTCTTCCTCCCATTTATTAATTAAACACTTAAGTTAATAACTGATTTCATTAACATTGCTGCAAACGTTTGAAGTGTGACGAGTCGCTTGTAGACCATAATCGGAACATTACCTATAAGAAATGATTAAAAACATGCAACGTTACTAAAGTAATTACGTTTGCAAGTGATCGCGATTATTAATGTTTTGGTGAATGTACTTTTGCTTTCAATTATTCTGATTATTGTATCGGACGATCAAAAAAGGATTGACGTCAAGTTACCTTTGGAAATTCAAGTTAAACACGATTTCCCATTAAAAAAAACCAAAGGTGCGACTCGACAACAACTCTTTTTGATCGCATAGTGTATACAGAATGTCAGGAAAAGTGCTCAGTGGGAATATATCGGATACATAAAATAATTTCGAGAAATGTTCAAAACCTTTTCGAGGAGTGCTCTCATCCTCGGTGCATCATAAACCACCCTTTTAAAATGTTTATCGAAAAGCCACATGGATGATGCATCGTTGGAAATCATGTTCAACGGTGTCCATCGTAGAAATACTAATACCATAAAAAATAAAAATCAGAGCATTGAAGTCCCTTACAACATACGTACAGGATGTCCACAATGGAGATTTCGCTAGGGATTTTGCTTCGAGTTTCTCTTATCATAAGAGATAGAAAGTTGGTTACATGAAGGCAAAGTTGCGCTTTTTGTGCTGAATAATAATTTAAAAAGAAATGGAAAATATCTTGAATGTTGTGCAAATATCCCAAAAAGACGGACATTTTTGATTTCCGTTTTTAATTTGTTCATGAAACTAATCCATTTTGGATTTTGACATTTGGGATTACGTTTTTTTTTGCTCTTTATAACGATATCATACATGATGATTGGTGGTTCAGTATCACATTTTTCCTAAAAATAAAATTTTGAATTTTTTGCGAAGAGTGCTTTGGAAACTGTTACAAAAGCGAAAAGCGGACTGTAATTTTGATTATTCTTTTAGAGTGATAAAATAATAAAAAAATGACTTACCCCCAAATATTTTATCTCTGATGATCTATACACAAATTAAAGGATCGGAAAGAAAGGATTTGTGTCAAATTGACGTATAAACGTATAACAATAAATTATTAATACAAAATAAAACTGAACTTGATGCAGTTGGCGTGTGTAGCGTTGAATGAATATTCGGCAAGTGAGTTTTAAAACTGCACCAATGAATATGGGCAGGACATTTTGCAGCCGGTGAAAATTTTATATTAATACAAATAAGTACCACAGATCAAAGACCCAAAAATTGGGAGCTGTCCCGGGTACCAGCGGTAGCTACTCCGCCACTGTTGGGAGACCCTTGGGAAGAGCGCTTATTTCCTGGAAGTACGCTACTAGAACTGGGTTGTATTCGTGTTTAGTGTGACTGTGGGAATGTCAAGATGATAAAATATAAAGCGCGCAGGTTTTAGTTTAGGTACTCGGTGCTCGGTTATACATATACACGGTGGTAGAAACGGTTTATGCACCAGGGGGGAAAATATTTCAATATAACGGAATAACAATGAAATACCTATTCTACACCCTGTATATAACATACCAGGTGATTCATTTATATCGAGAGGATTTAATAACTTGCTGGAATCATCTTTTTTGGAAAAAAGTTTGATACAAAGCTTGTACAATTCTAAGGATCAACTTCAGAATTCTGAATGGGACACCCTAATTTTGAACCCGGAAATGAAACTATCGGGTAGTTTCTTATTTATTTAGTTCCTTTTATCTATCAATTAATGTAATGATGGGTTAGAGTAGGACTCTTGGATGAGATGATCAGATAAAGTCCAAAATTTATATTCACGCTTTACACCCCCCCAACCATGTCACATGTAAAATTGTCGTCCCCGTACGATCACGCATAAAGGTAGTAATATAATGATAGTGGGGATTGAACAAAGTTTTTTTTTACAACAAAAGGTCACGTGTACAAAATGACACAGTTAAGCCATCGGTCAAAAATGTCTGACCTCCCACTCTTATACAACTACCCTTACACGTGGTCATAGGGGTTGAAATTTTACATGTGACACGTCTGGTGGGTCTAAAACCAGTAACTATTGATCATTGCAACATTTTCTGATGGCGTTAATTAAAACAATGTCGATAGATGGTATTTCGTTTCGTTTGCCATGCCAGTATGCAAGCAGGACCTGAAAGTACTTGGCAGTACACACGCAGGACCTGGTAGTACATCGGCAGGACTTAACAGTACCTAATAGTACCCGGCAGTAAACAGAATTATTGATAGGACAGGAGGAGTACACAAAGTAGGTACTGCCAAATTGAGCAATAACCGAATACGTGTACAAAAGTTTTCCTAGTGAAATACCCCTGGGTGTATCATGAAAACTTTCGTTTTTTGCGATATTTTAAAAACGATTGAAGATATTTTGAGTTTCTTTTCAGATTATTTTTCAGCACTAAACTTCGCAATTTCGCCCTTGTTTAACCAACGTTCTATCTCAAGATAAGCGAGATCTCCATAGTGGCACTCGAAAAATGATCACTCGTATACTTCAGACGTGAGTGATGAACTCATTCATATGCTATTTTTTTTCTCGCGACTTCCTCTCGAAACGGTTTTTGGGCATTTTTTTAAACGTATGTGATATATTCCTACTATTCTGCAGTATTCCTAGCGGCCAACAGTATTTATGTAATAGAGTCGTTAAATCCCAAAAAGACACAAAACCTCCCCCATACTAATTTAATGGACAAATGTAACTAAAAGCATGGGGAAAAAACGATGACAATTAAACTTCCACCTACGCCCGACTTTAATAATTAAATATAAATTAATTTTACATCATGGATCTAAAGACTATATTTAATGACGATATATTTTAATGTTATAGTTTAATTGTCATCGTTTTTTCCCCATGCTGCTTTTCAAATTTTGTAATGTGTATACTTCTAGAATGTTTTAAAATTTTTAATCTGTAATCTCCTTAAGCCAGAAGATGACCGTTGGTCGAAACTAGTCGCTGCTTTTACATTTGTCTATTAAATTAGTATGGGGAAGGTTTGCGTCTTTTTGGGATCTAACGACTCTATTATACACAACCCCATTTTGAGTTTCATCACACCATGGATATCTCCGATTCAGTATTGATGTACTTGGTTATAAAAAGTAGGTACACGACATATTTCGGCCAGTTCCATTTTCAAGTGTATAAAATTAACATTCAATAAATGCCGAGGGGGATAATTTAAAGTGGAAAAATAAACACAAGCAAACATTAGATGTCTAACGGACTACAAAAGTTTGAATTTGAAAGGAACCCTCATTAAAACAAACCGTAAAACACCCCGATGATGTACAAAGATTGTAACGTGGTGAAAACTCTAATCCACTGAAAAATGCAAATTTCTAATGGTAATGGTAATTGCAAATTAATAACAACGTAACATTATCAATAATCAGTTTATTCAAAACGTAGAATGTGTAAAAAAGGTAAAAATACAAAACTCGATTTTCATAGGAGAACCCAAATCTTCAAATTAGACTGGTTTATCTAAGCAGTGAAGATAGATACTACAATAGTTCAAATCTTGAAAATTAATTTATAGTAAGCTTACCATACACGGTTAGGAGTAGGTTTACCAGTATGCTAATCCACTATAATAGGTTATTCTTGTAAAGGCACAGCTGTAAAATGTGATTGCGAAATAGAACTGTGACAGCCTTTGCATGAAATTGCGAACACTTTAGTGCCTGATGCGACATATAATTGCATTTTGTTGCGTAACTTAAAACAAAAAAATAGCACAATTAAAATCAAATTTGTCAAACGTTCGTTTAATTAAAATTGGAACATTCAAAAATTAATGGTTGTATAATCACTTTTACGGGGATAGATATGGCTACTACGCTTTAAAAAAGTTAGCCATTTTATGGTATTCGTGCAATTGATGTAATTGTGCATGCTCAATGGTAAAACGTGTCTGATTTAGTAGCTATAAAAGTTTTCTAATTTTACGGTGATATGGTGTGGGTATAGGTTTTAAATTGGAATTATTATTCTACATTTGCATGTGCAATTTCAAGGTTATGGTTTCGTTTTTAAATTGCACGTAAGCATACCACCGATAATTTTAGTGCTTTATTCCGGATAGGGAAACCATGACCGTGACTTTCAGGTTTAGCTCACGATGAACTTTTTACTTTCAGAGTCTTTGGAGCAAGGAAACGGATTGAAAATCGGATAACTGATTAGGCTTCCTATGTCACTGACGGCGGAATTGATACGGTTACCTTCAGCAATCAAAACGCAAGCAACAAGATGGTAAGTTTGATCTTGAAGAAGCTTCAGGGTGATGCGCACCGTCTAACTTTAAGTAGCCCAGTAGGCATGGTCATAATCTTTTGCCAAATGAATCACAAAAAGCCTTTTCTTATTGCCGTACTCTTCGGAGAACGGGCAACGGTTACGTCACCTCAATGAAAGAGAATTCTTGAAACTGGAAGCGTGGTACACGACATTCTAGGAATTTCACTTCGTACGGTAGACGAATCGTGAATATTCATCAGAGGTCCGATACTTATTCGGAATTTACAATGAGTTATATTACTTCTATTGTGAACATCATCAGTTGACTTATAAATAGATCTATCGTAATGGGTCGGTAGATTCTTTCCTTTACCCATCTAGGTGTAAGCCCAACAATCGTCAAATGTGGTCGACCTGCAAAATTGGGCGCGTGCCGAATATTTCGAATTAAAAAAATTACCAAAGCGATTGTCCCACTTTAGAATCAATTGCAAAACGAAATACGTCCTGGTTACTAATTTTTAGAGCGTGGTCCTATCTAAATGCTGCTCGGTAATTATAGGTCTTGATTTTCAGTTAATTATAAGTAATTGCGGGTTCATTGAATCCGTTTCCTATACTTGGCAATTATAAGTCTGAAGTGAGATTTCCATTTTTCTTCTCTCCAATAAAATTGGTGAGATAATATGTGTAATAAAGAACTTTTTCCAAGTATTCAGAGCCAAAGTTTGTTAATCAAAGGTGGATGGGTGTTTCAATTACGCTCCATGCAATATTTTAATAAATAAATTTAAATAAATAGTGTTACAGCTTAAACGTTATAAATAAACGTTAGCTACAATGTACATCTGATAAAATATTCAAAAGATTGTCAAACTTTATTTAAGTCACGATTGTTTAGTGTTTTACTAAAAATCGAATCATTTTTAAAATTTAAACTTTTTAAAAAAATAAGCTGGTTTATTCTGCGAGCCGGATTTCGGTACCATCAGTTTATTTTTTGTTCCTCCTTTTGTTTGAGCTTTTGGAAATAACTATTTTGAGTAATTAATAATAAGTAAGTAATTAAAACCCATTTCATTAACTCTTTGTTCCCGTAAGTTGTCAGTAGTTTTCAAAAATATCTCGTGTATAACTCACTGGATTTGTACCTCTTTTCTTACGGTATTCAGGTATGAATGCGGAAAAATTATTTACTACTGGTTTGCTGTTGCAGTATACAAAAAGGATTTGTTTAGCACTTTACATTTGCATGACCATTATTTCCTGTTACAAGACTGCCGGTAGAATCCGATACACGAGTTGCAATTGTGTCGTAGTTGTAGGTACTTCCTTCCTATCTGATGATCGGCGTCTATTAAATAATTACAAAATAAAATAGCCCACACTAATTACAGTATTTATTCTGCACGGTTAAATACAGCTCGACCTTCGCAAAGTGAAACGAACCCAGGTTCAAAGGATTACGAGCTGAGTGAGGATTGCGACTCACTGTACGTATTGTCCAACGGTATTTATCAATTACCCACTATAGACTATAGGGACGTGTTTTCCTTGACTTGATTAATACCGAAAAACGATCATAATACGTATAACATACGGTTACATAATGTTATGGATTACCGCACATAACGGTGAAGAATCTTTAAATTATGGTCTAATATATAAATTCGTTACGATTCACCGAATTTTAGCTAACACTGTTAGTGAAAAACTGTATAAGACATTTATTAAAAAGAGTTGGACTCCCACTCGGTTTAAATATCGCTGTAGCCCGTTGAAGGTTTAATTTTCTGACGTTACACGATATCCTTATATTGTTACGCTTACTTGGGCATGAAGACGTCTTCGGTTCTCAGTTCTTTGCTTAAGTTAGTGTTACCGCACCATTGTAAATTTAAATTAAAGCAACAGCTTTTTGTTTTGTTGCTATTAGTGTTTTTCGAACTGATTAGCCAGAAGTACCGGATTTTAAGACCATTTTGAGTGGAGAAATAGTGTATCATCAACTGAGTTGGGGTGGCATAGCAAGAATCTTTTAGTGTGCTCATTCCCTACTTTATCCTTATCCTTTTGGAATTCAAAGAGATACAAAGAGGATCCGATCACTACCGGCATCGAACTTGACAATACGAAAGTTATTGTTTTATATCCTTTGTTCAGTTTTTCTTTTACTCTCTTTTGGTTTCAATTGCTCCTCCTACCCCAAGAAAGCGGGAATGACAACGTCACTTGTCTACTGATTTACCTTACGGTTTTAAAGTAGGCAATGGCTTATGGCATAGAGTAAATACAATTCTATGGTAATGGTCACTCTTCGACCCAACTTCTGCCTTTCGTCGAACCGAACTACTTTTACTTTTGACATTTGACGGTTTTACTTTCATCCTAAGGAAATTTGGTTTCTCTCATAATAAATACTTTGGCCCACGATACTAAAAAGTGTATCAGTTTCATTGTTATTAACGAATGCACATTTTAGCCCCCTCAAAAATAATACTATTCTCAATATCCTACCCTTTTTATCCGGATAACTTAATTATACTTTCTACATTCAGAACAAAGTCACATAGGATTTTTAAAATGTTGGAGACCATTCTCTAAAATAATTGACCCGTTGCCGCAATATCTTCACGTATCTCATTAACATACATATAATTTTGACTTTACGAAACTTCAACATAAAGAATCCGCATTATGAGTAAGACCTGGGTCACTAACTAATGTCATCATTTCGTTTGTAATTCTGCTTAGGCAAATAGACCTCGTCACTGATTAAATATTTCCTAAAAAGTCTTCATCATATTTTTGCATTTAGTACTTGAATGTCTGTGAAAATGTTAAATTGAATTAGTCACAAGAGGAAGTCAGTTACTCTGCGATCATCAGCGGCAAATTTTTGTTAAGGCAAACTACTATTGTTAAAAACTCGAAGGACTCCTAAGTCAGAATTTTTTGCACCTACATTTGGGACCACAAATCTTTTTTGCATAATGGAAACTGGAAAGAATTGCAACCAACCAATTGCCAATATAAAGGCAACTCTTTGTACTTTCTTAACATTTCTGTTCCCAGACAAAACGTGGAGATATGCGATGGAAAAGTTACAGATGGCATTCTCGTCAAAGGTGCGTGCCTCTACATTAACCCAAAGTAATTGGCATATATTACAAACAATTAGCTATACATTGTGCACAACTCTTGTAAGGATATGCATTTTTTTAAACCGAAATACCTTAGTAAATCGCGGGGATATAAGATAGTAGCATGCTATATTTATCGATTTTACCTTCTGGTAGACGATTAATGGTGAGGGGGATCATTACACATAAACATTTAAAGGCCACCTGGCATACATTTAAAATTTACGCTATGTAATGTAATGCAAGAAGAATCAAACCTTAGAGAAATTCCCCGAAATATTGCATGTTGCCCACAACATTTTCGATGTTCACAATTAAGTATTCATATCGCCAGTAGATCTGTCTTGTCTAGACGATCTTTCCGCCCTATAATAGTAACCTCCTCCGACCACTTCCTTCTGCAGATGTTTGCACTGAAAAATTTGACATCACCGGTAGTATGTGTCTGGTCTAGATCCTAGTACGATTCACATTCACTGAAAACCTGGAAAACGTAATTTTTTTTAATGGGAGCTCCTATTTACCACCCGTATGTTAGTAAGGGAGGCATTGCATTGGGGTAAAAAATACACTTTACGATTTTTATGGATATATACGTTTTAAAGCACCAGGAATTCGAATAAAACAAAACGTCAATGATATCGGTATGTCTGTCGATCTGTCTGTTTGTACTCTCATTCAGATAAATGTGCCATAACAACAATAAATTATTAGCGCATTTTCCAACGAAGCCACTCTCTCTGTTATCGAGATATCCTTTTGAAATTTTAAGCACAGGTGCTTCTGTTAAAGACAAACATATCTCATATTGTAAACGTTAGACTTCCTTATTTATGAAAATATTTCTTTGAAATTGTAACCATAGATGCTTTTAGTGATGAGGCTATAGCCATAATTTGTTGTGAAGTACTGATAAATGCATGGAAAATGCGCTTAAGTTACTCGTCTTAGGGTGAAAACCTTTTGACTGGTTTTCCTTTGTACACGTAAATAGTCTGTTACCTGATCTTCTCGCCTTAAGGCGAAAACCTCTCTTTCATTTTGGTATCTTATATCAATTTTGGCAAGTAGTTTTGTGTCTCCGTTAGAACCAAAAGTTGCTAGGGTGAGTAGGCGTCCACCATTTTGGTCAATCCATAATCATTTTTTACTACTGTACGTGGTTAGTAAGTACATAAATTTTGGATCAACTGAAGAAGGACAGCCATACGTGTCCGAAATATCTAGTCTACAAAATGATAAAGCTACACAGTACACACCCTTCCGACTGGCAACTTTTACCTTATATCAAATATAGTACACACATCTGAAGTACATTAAAAAAAATAGCTAAAAACTAGCTGTACGAACTTTGGCAATGTTACCTACACTGGCAAGATGATTGACAATGAAGAATAGTTTTCCAAACAGAACGTTTCTCATGCAAATGTTGCTTAAACTGAGGAATAATCCAGTTAACCAGTAGGTAGTTCTACATTTTTGATACGTTGTCTAGGATGGTTAGTAAGTGTTTAAAATGCCAAATGCACAATTCCTCCCTCTCTGCACCCGCTGCCATATTAAAAAAAAGAGTTCTATTCAATGTTGCAGAGAATTAAATTTCCCATAATTTAAGTTTTTTTAAAATTTTGTTTGTAGCACCCGAGAGCACTTTTTAAAGAAATAAGAAAACTGCATATTCCGAGAACAAGTATCAAAATAAAATTTGTAGTGAATTTAATTACCTACAAAATGCATAGAATTTTTTTACAAACCCTACAGAATGGGGGGGGGGGGTAAACATAGCAGTTAAAACAGCGGATTATTGCTTTTGTTGGCTATTATGACCGCAGAATACACAATGTATCTAAAAAATCACTAATTTCATGTGAA